TTATCCATATTTTGGAGACAAGGATGAGGCTCGGAGAAGTGAATTGATTTGCCTAAGGTTATACTAACAGTAAGAGGCAGAATTGAAACTGGCCTTGAGGCAGAATTGAAATTGAAGTCAGGTCTTCAGACCCCACACATCCAGGGCTCTCTCAGCTGGACCTACCTCCTCTCTGCTTAGAAATGCAGACTAATTAGCATCTGATCCCTCGTAACCTGAGTTTGGGGAGCAAAGGCATTTGTGGAGGGAATGTAGTCCACAACCCACATGGTGAGCAAGTGTTTCCTTCTTTCTGCCTTCCTAACCCAAGGGGGCTGGGATAGGAGCAGATCACAAAGAACAAAGCCATCTGGCCTCTGCTCTTCAAGAGATCACAGCTTGATTCCAGGCCAGGTGGCCCGTGGCTGCCCCCGTGCTCCTCACCTTTCTCATGCTGCACTGGGTCCCCCGCCCGGCACAGGGATGCTAGCAGTGGCAGGGCTCTGAGCCGCTGTCTACAAGCCTGACCGTAGAGCCTTAAGCAACCATCCGGCCTGACTCAGGAGTCAGGAGCCCAAGGTCCTGGATGTTCAGGCACCTGATTGAACAAGGCTGAAAAATCCCTCCAATTAACGGCTAAAAATACAGAGGGACATGTGACTCCAGTGCCACCCAAGCCTACAGGCCACGTATCACATTACGCCTGGCCAAATCTTCGAGAGCCTCCCTGTGCCCGAGCACTCACTGGAGCCTGGCTACTCAGGAGGCCCACTGGCAGCTCCGAAGCACCAGGCCCACCTCTGTCACCCACCCCAGCCTGTGCCGGACCCCATTCCAGGAGAGCTGAGTCCACACTCTCAGAAGAGCCATTCTCCTGGACCCCAGCAGCGACCTCCCTCCCCGCCTTAGTTGTATCAGCTGTTCTTTGTTGAGCCCTCGCTAGGTTCCAGGCATTGTTGTGAGAATTCTATGCAAATTATCTCATGCATTCCCCACAAGAGCCACCTCATTATCCCCCGCTTTGCAAAGGCAGAAATCGAGAGGGGTGCAGGATCCCATCCAGGCCACTGCATGTTACTGCCTCCTTTTCAGGAGCAAGAGGTGGTTAAGCCAGAACTTTTTGTGCTACCCTGACCTGGTTTCCAAAGTAGAGAAAGACGAGGAGGCACCTCTGAGCTGCCTGCTGCAGATTCTGCCTTCAGAATCAGGTTTTTGTATGCTCTCAGCCACTATGGGACATAAAAATGCTTGTCCATTTTCTATCAACAAGCCAGTATTGATTTTACAGACTCTGCAAGCCGCTTAAACATCGGGACTAAGAGTCATTGAAAAAGGAAGCTTTATATGAGATACGATGTGCTTGGCAGATGGTGCTGGAGGTCATTTCCAACATGCAGAAAGAGTAGACAGTGAGCCCTTTTTGCTGGGGGCTTACTTGGAAAGAATAGGAAGAGTCTGCTGTTCCAACTTTGGGTCCTGGCGCCACCCTGAATTCCCATGTGACTTTGATCAGGGAATTCAACTTCTTGGAGTCTCAGTTTTCTCTTCTGTAACATAAGACTTCTGACGTTGTAAAGATTCTAGAATTTCACAGTCAGAAAGGACCTCAGGAGTTTTCTTGAGACTAAGCTTCCCCCATCTTGTGAATATAGAAAACCCATGAAAAATATAAACACACAAAGTACAGGATTCCGAGGAGGTTCTGGGACCCAAGCAGCGGAACCAGATTTAATGTGGTTGAAAAGGAGGCTGCACTGGTCCCCTTTTAAGGCCTGAGGCTTAGTGAAGCCTTTCTTGGTTCAGAAGAAACACTGACACCTGAGACTTATCGACAACCAACATGCAGCTGGGTGGGGGACCTGCAGTCACAGCAGCCGCCAAAGTGATTTCAGCACCTGCCTCCTCTGCCATGGACACCCTGAGCCCTAAAGTGGCTTCTCAGAGGGTGTGGCAGGATAGGGCCCAGGCCCCAGAGTGACACTGCGAGATGCCATCCGCCCACAGGTTTTCCAGTCAAAAGATGGTGCAAGCAGGTCTTGCTGAAAGTTTACGTTTCTCATTCCCAGGTTGTGCTCTCCTATTTATGACCACCACTTCCCTCTAGAGTTTGCAGCAAGCGTCATCAGCTGCCTTCCTCACATGGGGAAGCAGGAGTCCCGGTGTGTCACAGGGGCTTGCTGAGATCCTCTGAGAAAGGTGGGCCGGCCTGGAACTCTGGCCGCCTGCATCCCCCAGCCTCTACCCTGGAGCTCCCACACCTGCCAGGAGGTTCTGCTTCATCCCATCTGCAGGGATGGGCCCCTCCTCACAAGAGCTAAGCCCAGATTGATCCCAGAGAGGTCATTTAGAAAATAACAAACCAAGGAGCCAGGGTTGGTTTAGATCTAAGGTGACTTTGTGTTGCCCCAGCCCTGAGATCTGGGTCACGTGCACTAGGCCGTCTCCTCCTCCTGGGGGATCATGGTGCTATCCCTACCTCCCTGGGCTCACAGTCCATCCTGGGGACAGGTATAGTGGGAAGGCTGGGCTCAGAACAGCCTCCCCACATAGCATAAAGCATTTCCACACAACTTCTAAACTCTTTCAATGAAACCAAAGATTGCAGGCTCAACTGCCCTCCGAGGCCAGGCAGATCACCTAAGTAACAGAAGCAGGCTGTGTGTGAGAAGGGCTAGGAGGGAGAGGACAAAAGCAGCCAGAGAACTCAGGCCCCACTTAACGGGCAGCCACTCCCTGGACGTAGGAATGTGGGCCCAGCACAGCCAGGGTTCCCAGTGTTTCATCAGAAGCCACCAATTCAAATTTTGTACGTAAAGTCTCTTGCTCCGTTGTTTAGTGAGCCAAACAAAATTCCATGGGCTTTTGACCTAAGGATCCCATTTGATCCTCTGGGTCAGACAGTCAAAGACAGCAAAAAGCTGAGACAGGAAACGGGGGCTATTGTTTCCATTCTACGGCTGAGAGGCTGGGGCTTAGGGAGACCTGTGCCTCGCCACACAGGCAGGGTGACACAGGCAGGCCCAGGCTGAAGATTCAGGCTATCTGGCCAGGCTGGGAGCAGGCCTTTGGTTGGGCCAGGGGCTGTCTCCCACCCGCTCCTCTGCCTCTGCCCCCACAGAACGTCTCTCCGCAGCCAGTCCTCTTTGGAAGCCCCACCTTCAGGGATCTAACATCTTGGCGTTCTTCTCACTGCCACCAGCCGCTGCATGTCATCACCACTACCACAGCATCATCACCAACATGCCGCCCCCTCCTCCCCCCACCACCACTGCCTTCCCAGCAGAAATCACAGCAGGCCTTCACCGGGTGCATGGCCTGAGGGTGGGGGCTGGTCTGCAGCTCCGGGGGCCTTCCCTCTAACATTTGTTTCCATGAACCTCAGGGTGAACAGAGCCAAGCCAGCATCCAAGGTCCACCAGGGCCCCCAGGCCCCCCTGGACCAAGTGGACCTCTGGGGCACCCAGGACTGCCAGGACCCATGGGGCCACCCGTAAGTATTTCCTTCCTCTCTCCTTCAAGACTTGTCCCAAGAACTCTCTGGAAACCTCCAAACCTCGAATAGGCAGTGGGTCCCCTACAAAAAGCAGAAATGCCTTGGCAGGGCCATTGGATGTGGGTGAACCATGCAAGGGGCTATTCATCCCCAGCACACGCACCACCCGTTGCAATCTGGCTCTGAAACACAGCCTGGGCCATGTCCGCTGCCTTCCAGGGAGGAGACCGCCAACGACCTGCCCCGTTCCCAGCCCCAGCAGAGAGGAATTTGGAAAGAGAATTCCCAAGGGCACTTCTGATGGCTATGCCTGAGCCCCTTAGGAAAACCTGAGTCAGGGGCAGTGGGTTTTGAAGGAGGTAGTGAGGGGTCATCCGACTACCTGGCACTCCAATGAACAAGACTTCCAGGGGTGTGTGCAGGTTTCACACTGCTGGGCCACCTGCCAGCTGAGCTGAAGGCCCAGTCAGCCAAAAGCCCTGCGCCAAGCCTGAGGATGCATCAAGCCTGCAGGGCCACTGCCTGGAGGACTCCAGAGAGGCCAACTGGCACCCCTCCAGGCTGGACCACATTCAAGTGACAGGTCAAGCCCAGTGGTCACCAAGTCACCCATGTTCAAGCCCTGGCTAAGACTCCACTCTTTCTCAGCCCAATTTATACAACAAAGCCCCAGGACAGAATAATTCAGTGGGTACCTGGACTTCAGAGAAAACGGGTCTTCCTCCCACCCATAAGACTAATGTTATTGGAGAGGCAGGTAAAGGGCAAAATGCTTTTTAAATAATGTTTTTCCCATGTGGTAGAAAAACCAAAACAAAAGCTGTTTTTCCTTCTTATGACAAAAGCACCATAAATTCATTGTGAAAAGAATGGAACATAGACAAAGAAACATAATGTTTGTGCGCATCTCTGAGAGTTTTGCTGGAATAGAGTCCCAGAGGTGGAATCCCAGAGGCCAGATGTCCCCAACAAATAGCACTCCGTGTGTACGGCCACATTCTAGATGGCCTGGTTGCATGTCTGGGTCCCTTGACTGCCCAGCTTTCAATCTCGAAACTTGTTATAGGGTCTCCCTGGGCTGGGCCATAGCTATGGCCGAATAGGGCACCCACCTTGGCTGGGAAGGCCAGCACAATGACCCCTGCAACGCTTGACCCCTACAATGAATTTTTAATTTTTCCACAATTTCTCCCCAGCACCCCACAGAGGGGGTTTAGTCTTATTTCCACCAGTTTTCAGATGGGAAAACCTGAAAGGAAGGGAAACTTAGGAAACGGAACCAAACTAAGGCAAGAAAACCAAAAAGCGCTCAGAATTCACTTTTTGCTGACCACTGCCCTTTCCACCCCACCCCGCTGCTGACACTTTGGGCTCTCACTCACTGAACCCAAGCCAGGTGGTTTTCTTTGTTAGATTGTTTATAACAACAACAACAACCAAAAAAAGAAAACCAGAGAGCATGTTTCTTAAACCAATTGCAACAGACCAGACTCTGGCATCATGGCTTTCTCCAGCCCACGTTTACTGTCCACACCTACACCCAAGGCTGCGGTGGAGCCAGCCTTCCCTGGCCTCTCCCTCGACTCACACCACCTCACTGTGGCCAGCTGCCATGCCCACAGCACCCTGGGCAGAAGGAGACAGAGGGCTCCTCCGCCAGCAGGCAGGACCAAGGGCAAAACCAAGGCTCTGCTGGGCAAGGCCAGCTTTCTAGGGAGGGGTTCCAATTAGGAGGTGGGTGAATGAGGATCTGGACCAAACCACACTGTCAATTTAGCATGATGCCGCTGACCTACTTTCCATGGGCGAGCACAGCAGGGTTGCCCACGGCGCCCACATGGCTGCAAAGAGGGACATAAGCCTGTTATCCCCACGTGCCCTCAGCAGGTTTCAGATCCCCTTCTGGGGTCCGCTACCGCTGTTGGCTAGCATGCCTATTCTCTTGCCATAGCTACTGGGGGCTACTCTGCCCCTAGGGTCCACTGTAAGTATGGCTAGCCCCAACCATTTACCAGTGGAAACAAGCTCTACTCACCTTTTTTTTTTTTTTTTTTTTTTTTTGCTTTCACAGGGCTTACCTGGGCCTCCTGGACCAAAGGTGAGTGTCCTTCTGGGTGATGTGTTGAACAGGTGGGAGAATTCCCTGACTGAGGCAGGAGCAGAGAGGGATCTCAGCTGAGAGATGGATCAAGCTTGACCCACTTCCAAAACACCACCCTCCTCTTAGGAACTAATTTGATTCCAACAAGAATTTCACTTCTTGTGTGCCCAGGCCAATGAAGCAAGTGCTACGGGCCTGCATTGAAGGCACAGTCCACCATCTGAGGAGCATAGTGTCTAGCTGGAAACTAAGCTCATGCCCAGAACACCGTCACAATATCCAAATAAAATAGTGTTTTATGAGGTGTCAGAATCGGAAGAGACCTCTAGGGTCATCCAGTCTCCAGAGAACCCTCACCCAGAAGCCCACAATGTCAAACAGGCTCTCCCTTTGAAGCTGGGGACCCTGGGGCTCTGGGGACAAGAAGATGCCAAGCACTGATTGTGCCCAACTATTTTATACATGCAGAAGCTGAGAGCCCAGGGGGAAAGTGGCTTGTCCATGTTCAGTGGAATCAGGTTTCCTCGGTCCCTACCCAAGTGACTCTTCCCACCATTCCTCAGCCTCTGCAAAGTGGAGCTGGTTCTCAAGAGTAGAACAATCTATGTTGGCCTCAGAGGAAGCTAAGAGCTGTTGCTCCTAGGAAACCTGGAGATGAGTGTTGAAGGGGCAGTGGGGCTTGGAGTCATTGAGAGGAAGAGGGATGGTATTGCGTGGGGAACAGCACAAGTCAAAGTTTGGCAGTGGGAAAACCTCTTTAATGGCCATCTCTTTATTTCCCCAGGGAGACCCAGGGATCCAGGGCTACCACGGCCGGAAGGTAAGATGGAGGAGAAGGATCCAAGTGGGGCAGGACTTTGGACAAAGCAGTGGCCTACTGGACCTCAAACCCAAGAGGGTCTCTCCCTTCCAACCTAGATGGCTGTGCCTGTACAGAGGCAGGCCAGGTTCTCACTGGCCCCCCGAGGGCCTGATAAGTGGGAGCCAGATTACTGGGATCCAGCTAGGCAGAGTTCTTTCTGTGCTGAGCAAGGATGTAGGACATGGAGGGGTCCAGCTCTCATGGGCCAGAGAGTCAGAAGCACTCCTGCACAAATAACCCCAGTGAAGGCAGACTTTATTAAGTGCTACTGTCACAAGGCATGGCGTAATTAAAGGAGATGGAGAGACAAATTTCAGATTGAGAGAAGTTTGGGAAATATTCTGGGAGAAGACAGCCTGAGAACTCAACCTTGATGAATGGGTGGAGGTATCAGTTATCTATTGCTGCATAACAAACCATTCCAAGTTTACTGACTCTCTGTCACAATTCTGTGGATTGACAGTCTGGGAATTCTGCTATTCTCACCTGGGCTCACTCATGCAGTCACACCAAATGACAGATAGAAGGGTGGGAGGGGACAAGATGGCCCCATTCACATGTCTGGTGGTCAATGCTGGCTGTGGGCTGGGGGCCCCTGTTCTCCACATGGCCTCTTATCCTCCAGGAAGCTAGACAGACTTCCTTACAGCACAGCAGATCCAGGGCAGCATTCAAAATGGGCAGGTCCCAGTGCATAAAGACTTGTCACATATCTGCTTGTATCACATTTTCTAATGTCTTATTGGTGTGGGAAGAGTCTTAGGCTCTACTTGTTCATTGGAGGAGTAGAAAGCATTTGTGGCCTTGTTTTTTTGTTTTTTGTTTTTTGTTTTTTGAGACAGAGTCCCACTCTGTCACCAGGCTGGAGTGCAGTGGCGCGATCTCAGCTCACTGCAAAACCCGCCTGCCAGGTTCAAGTGATTCTCCTGCCTCAGCCTCCTGAGTAGCTGGGACTACAGGTGCGTACCACCACGCCCAGTTAAATTTTGTATTTTTGGTAGAGACGGGGTTTCACCATGTTGGCCAGGATGGTCTCAATCTCTTGACCTCGTGATCTGCCCACCTCGGCCTCCCAAAATACTGGGATTACAGGCGTGAGCCACCACGCCCAGTTGTGGCCATTTTTAATCTACCACTGTGGGCCTTCAACCAGAAAATATGAATGGAAACAATATTTTAGATAGGTAAACAATTTGAGCAAAGACCCAGAAGCAGTCATTACCATAACTATAATAGCAATAATAATTTTATGGTAGTCACTACTTACTGAACACGTACTATGGTCCAGGCACTGTCTTTCAACACAAACTGCATTATTTTTAGCCCTAAAAGCACTCTGTGAGGCTGGTATGACTATTCTCCTATTTTAAAAATGAGAAAACTGTGTGTCTTGGTCCATTTCATGTTGCTATAACAGAACACCACAGACTGGGTAATTTATAAAGACAAGAAACTTATTTCTTACCATTGTGGAGGCTGGGAAGCCCACGGTCAAGGAGCCCATATCTGGTGAGGACCTTCTTGTTGTGTCATCCCGTGGTGGACAGTGGAAGGGCAGGAGAGGGCGAGAGAACACGAGCAAGAGAAGGCTGGGCTTGCTTTTATAACAAGTCCACTCTCGCAATCACATACCCACTCCCACAATAACTAACCCACTTCCACGATAACTAACCCACTCCCACAATAACTAACCCAATTCCATGATAACCAACCCACTCCCACAATAACTAACCCAATTCCATGATAACCAACCCACTCCCACAATAACTAACCCATTTCCATGATAACCAACCCACTCCCACAATAACTAACCCACTCTCACAATAACTAAACCACTCCCATGATAACTAGCCCACTCCTGCAATGACAAACCCATTCCCACGATAACTAATCCACTCCCACAATAACCCACTCTTACAATAACTAATTCACTCCCACAATAACTAACCCATGATAACTCCCACTCCCACGACAGCAACATTAATTTATTCACGAGGACAGAGCTGTCATAATCTAATCACCTCCTAAAGGTCCCACGTCTCAACACTGTTGCACTGGGGATTAAGTTTCCAACACAAGAGCTATAGGGGATACATTCAAACTACAGCACTGGAGCTTGTCCAAAGTCTCCTGGCTCATAAGTGGCAGAGCAGGAGTTCAGTTCCAGGTCTGGGTCCTTGCCATGGTACCACCTGCTGTAAAGAGCACAACCCTGCCCTCCAGACCCTGGCTGGGAAGCTGCTAGAGCCTTCCAAGAGGAGAAAAAAGGCAGGAAGGAAAGGCAGCAGCAGGAGAGGGGCAGAAATGTTGGAAGGGGAAGAATCACTCCCTGCAAAGCACATTCCTCGCACGCTGCAGTCAGGAGGTTGCCATAACCACATGGCTTTATGGGTGCCTGGTGAATGAAATGGCAAGACCTGAGAGATCTTTAATTAGTTCTACATAAACTAAGACATTTGTATTGTATCAGGAAGTGGAAATCAGCCCCCGCAGTTGCCTCTATCCACTCACACAGACTCATAAAATTTACTGCCTCCTGGTGCAACGCGGGGTCGGTTTTTCATTAGCAGCCGGGCCAGCTCTTTCAAGCTGTGAAGGAGTTGCAGGGCAGCAGAGGGTCTCCAGGCATCACGGTGATGCCCTTGGCTGGCATTATACCATGACAGGTGTCTGCATTCTGCTGCAAACTGCAAGACTGATTCATCCAGAGAGGGGCATGGGGTCTGCTGTCCTGAGTACGGAGAATCCTCTGCTTGGGGTTAGGGTGTCCTGATGCTAGAGGGCCTGTCCCTGGAGAGTGGCGATCCTAGACTCAGACTGTAGGAAGAAACATTTAACCCAGGCTACATTGAATTTGCAGAGAAGACCAGCGTAGCCCTGTTGATGGGGGAGCACTTCCTGTCCCCAGGACGCGGGAGATTTGCTCAGAGCCTCCCTGCTCTAGTGCGGAAGAAGGATCATACTTCTTTTGCATGACTAGAAGTAGAGCAAGTGCCAATGAATAAACTCTACGAGAAGAGCAATTCCAGCTCCAGAAGAGGGAGCTTCCTAATCGCCAGATGCCTTGGGAAGGTGGGAGGGAGTTCTGGTCACCAGAGGTGTTCAGTTAGAGGCTAGATAATGACTGGTCCAGGATGTGTTTAGAGAAGTCTCTGTATCAGCTGGGAGACTGGATTAAAATCCCTGCCAGCTCAGGGAAGCCATAGCTTCATGGGGACAGAGGTGGCTTCATACCCTTAAGAGAGGAGCAGCTCTGAGCCTTGAGCCCTGACCTTGAGAGGAGGCTCTGTCTCCTTGAACCTTCGTCCACGCCTTTTCTCCGTCCACATCCAGGGCTTGTCAGAAGCATCCCCACTCCTAGGTCTCACGAGGCACTGAGGAGAAGACCCTTCCCCTTCGTGCTGGACTCTTGCCTCCCAACCCTTCTTTCTCTGCCAAACCACCCTCTCTGCTTTTCTCCAGTGGCCTCTTCTCATGGAATCTGGAGGGGCTGTGAGGCCATCATGCCCCATCACCACCTCTCTGGGTCACTAGAAGGTTCCCATTGCCTCCACCGCTCCCAACCTATCACTGAGTCTTTTCAGTAGGTGCCACTGGAGCCACTAACCTTGCAAAGCCAACAGCCCATGGCTGGTCTGGGCACCCTTTCCTCTGTGCTGGCCTTTATCTGCTGGGACCCTTATCTTGCCACCAACTCTCCACTGCCTCCAAGTCCACTGAAGGCCAGAGGGCTGGCACTGGAAACTGTGACCAGCAGCAGACGGCCCGTCACCAAGGACTTGAGGTCATTCCTTGGGAGGCTACAAGTGCCTCTCCCATTGCCCCAGCCTCACCAGGACGGCAAATGTCTTGACGCCAGTGATCACCATGGTCAGGCAGAAGTTTGTTCCCCTCTGAATCTTGTGATGAAGTGACTTTTCATCTTTGGGCAGTACAGCAATATTTCACATCTCTACTTTAGAAAGTTCATTTTTTCAAACTTATTCAGTTCTTACCATGGCTCAGTGGTTAGAGCTCATTATCCTGATTGTATAAATGAGAAAGGTTAATACTTGGCCCAAGGTTGTGCAGCTGGTAAACAGCCATGCTGGAATTAGAAACCAGGCCTCATCAGTCCAAGCCCTGTGGCCAGTCTGTCTTTGCACCCTGGTGCAGAAGTTGAATGTCTGCTCAGGGGACTCACCCCAGGCTAAGCTAACTGCACAGACCAACCCTCCCAACCTCCGCCTACTAATGGTTTCTCTGGGATGTGGAGGGCTGTTCCCCCACCTCCCTTCTTTTGCCCATCAGTCCTCTCTTTAATTCTTTCCTCCATGCTGTGCTCTCTGCTTGGAGTAAGGCCCAGGGAGGAGGCACTAACATGAAGGGTGGCTTGGTCTCAGGGACTGGGAAGATGAGTTTGGCCTCCCCCACCACCCTGGGGAGGAACAGTGCCAGCAGCTGGGGATGCCAAGCTGAGACAGGGGCCATGTGACTGCCTCTTGAGGTCAGGATGTGAGCAGGACCTGTGGGGTAGCTGATGGGCCCCAACGTGAGCTTCCTTGCTTCACCCCAGAGATCTGACCCACTTGGAGGGACGGACACCTTTCTGACACCATAGGCTCTCAGCCTATGAAGTTTGCTAATGTCCACCACCACCCCCAGCAGCTGGACTGGGCCTGGCATCCTCTGAAAGGCCAGCCAGACCCACAGGGTAGGCTTCTCCACCAGTTCCTTGAGATAAAAGCCCAGTGTGGTCAGTGGCCCCTGTGCTGCCCCCATGCCCCAGTCGGAGCCAGCCCTCCCGCCTAGACACTGCGAGTATTGTTGTGCACCCATGTGGTATCTATTTGATCCAAATTTATGACACCGATCTACTTTAAATACGTTGCAAGATGCAAAGCGTGTTTAAAACATTACAACCTTGGCTCTCTGTCAAGAGGATTGACGAGTATTGTCAGATTGTATGTAGATCACAA